TAACTTGTTATTTTTACCGTTTTGTTTATAATCGGAGTTTCGTCATTCACCGATTTCCGTGGCGCAGTTTCATTGAATGATTTCCCGCTCAAAAAGTTGATTAAAACCACCAAAGGAGGGGGGAGGAGATTTAGAAGATTCTCCATTTGCCAAACAAATGAGCAAAAGACTAATTCAAAAGAATTGTTTATGATGAACACGAGATGAAATCCGGAACTGCGTGTTATCTACAGAAAAGACGTTTTGTTGTGTAATGAAAGCGTCCATTTATTCCATTTATTGATTCAGATCATAAGATTTTTTTGTTCGTGCGTTTATTTTTATTTCAAAAGCGAATTATCATTGAAAGTAAGCTTCAATCGTCTTCGTGAAACGGTCATACAAAATGTTTATATTTGCCGTTAATTAATATAAACTTAAAAGTTAATGATAAGATTATCTCTTCGAGATTAGAATGACGACCTGCAGTTCTTTTATTCTCATAAAATCAAAATAAACGTAATATCATATGTTAGGTTACAATGTCCGTTATTTATTTATTTATTTTTTTTTTTATTAAATTATTTTTTTTTTTTCATTAATATGATACTACAGCACTTTGCTTATTTTTCCGCAATTATTCTTTGGTCCTGTGCGCCTACAACTTGGCGTATTTCAACCTTTTGTTGCTGGGTCGGATACGTTATGAAACCAATAATGAAGAGGCCTATGATTAATTTTTTTTGGTATTATCGTCGAGGGCGTAATTTCGATTTTTTTTACCTATTCCTAAAAGTTTCTAATAGAATGCTTTTTGAAAAGAAAAAAAAAAATTAAAAAGAAAAAAAAAGTAATGTATAAGCAAGGAAAGGCAGAATCCTTATAGAGATATGCAATACAACATTTTTCGTTTCATATAATCATGCTTAAAAAAAAATTCGATTTTCATGAGATGTGCGTTTTACAGATCTTTTTTGTATTCAAGATTATTTTTTTTCCCTTTCCTCTTGGAAAAAGAAAAAAAAAAAAAAAAAAAGAGAAAAAAAAAAATTCTTGCATACAAGAGGAGGGGGATCTTCAATCCTAATACATTATTTGCATGACTTTAGAAGATTATGCGCTGTTAATTTAACGTACGAGCATTACATTGTATGTTTTTTTTATGGAGGGATCATTTTACCATAAAGGACTTAGAAATGTCAAAATGGGTGTAAAAAAACCGGTCGATGTTCAACTTGTTCGTATTATTTTGATTAATTTGCATATGATCTTTTGAACAATGGAGGAAACAAATCATTTCTCCAAAATAACTTGATGCGATACTTGTTTCCCAAATATATAAAATGAATCTTTGTATAGAAATAGTAACCTTACCTAGTCCCATATTGTTCATATGACGGAAATGGTAAATTTCAGGTCACCCATGCCGTAAAATCATGACGTAATAGCAACCTGACTTCATTTTGAAACGCGGAGCATGCATTACATACCATAGTCATTTCCAAGATGCGTCACGCGTAGCCAACCCGACGAATGAAAGGGTAAACTCCGTCAAAAATGAAACGTTTTTGAACATTTTATTTCATTTTTTTTTTTTTTTTTTTTTTTTTTTTTTGTTTTTGATTGTCGATTAAAAAACGAATTTCATTTTGGCTTAGTTATTCTTGGCTTATGTTAATTACATGATCTCAAACCTGATTTCTTCGGTACCTGCCTTGGTTCATTCATGCAAATATAACGAACTTTATTTGGTCATGGTCATGGTCATGTATAGAAAGATGTGGTCATTGAATGATAGAGGTGGAAGAAGCAAAAAAAAAAACAAAAAACAAAAAAAAAACACAACTAAGCCCAAAGTGAAAAGGACCAGGGTCATCCGATGATGTTTCGGCAAAAATCTTGTTAGTTACATAGAGGGTTAAATTTACCATATGAAAAGCTCTGATTAGTTTTTCGATGCCCTTAAGATTTTCATATCATATTTTTTAAATTTTTTTAACCTAAACCTATTCCTCTTTCGTAATCAGAGTTTACGCCATGTTCTTACCAAAAGGAATTGTTGACTTGCTAGTTGCATTTTCTTATCAATAAGATCTAAATTAAAATCCGAGATTCCGAATAAGTCCTTTAATAAAACAATTTCGGGGATATAATTATATAAATAAAGGATAAACCAAAATAACGCAAATGGATGATCTAATGTAAAAATAAAATCCTCTAAAATGAATTACGTTAATAACAATAGGTCCGAGCATCGCATCAAACGCAATGATTTGATTGATTGATGGATTGATTGACGTGTCATCATAATCAAAAAAATTTGTCTCGTTCAAAAATTCTGAAACCCTTTCCCTTTGATGATGTCATCTAGTCCCATGACTGGGATAAATAAATAATTTACAAATTTGTCTATTAGTATGTACGCTAGGTATTTTCTGTCATGACATTAGGCTGAGACCCTTTCATTGCATTGTTGTTTACCTTGTATTTTCCTTAAAAAAAAAAATATTAATAGTGCTTTTTGCCACCAATTAGCTAATTTGGAGAATAAAATAACAAATAAAAAACCGTAACGCAAACTAGTATGCAAACGTGTCGAAATTGTCATGTGGCGAAAAAATATGTAACTGTAAATAGACATAATATGAGTCTCTTTTTTCTTTTTTGTTTACTAAATGAAAAAAAAAAAGAAATATCAAATAGAATTTTCAAATGAAAAAAAAGTAAATAATAAAAAATCTTTTATTTGGGATAAAATGAAACTTCTAAAAAAAAAAAAGAATTCAAGGTTGTTCCAATTTGATTCGTTAGGTCGATTTGTGAAAGTGTACTAAAAAAAAAAAAAATGATCTTTTGGAATCAACCGGGTGCGTACGGAAAAAAGTATTAGAAATCTGGCACGACACTGTTCACGGGACATTATTTACGGTACCTGTTCACGGGACCTTTCATAAACGAACAGATTTCTCCAAAGCGACCCGACCCGGGAAAATTTGATATGTCTGGACCTTTTTTATTAGCCTCAAATATTGAGCAGTATGAACGGGATGAACGGAGTAGCCAATTTTTCATTCCATTCTTTTTTTTTTCATTTTAAAAAAAAAAGATAAATAAATAAAATAACAATTCTAGTTGTGACCGGTTTAAAATTTCACAAAAAGAAATCTGTTTATTAAAAAAACATTATAAATCATATTTAGATAATAAATTAGATTCTTATTTTGCAAGAGTTTCCATCTGCATGTCGAATTTTCTTGTCGCATCAAACTATATTTTGTGTACATGAAAAAAAATCTTTTTTTTTTTTTTTTTTTGTACCTTTATTTATGTAAATAAAAACTAAATTATATAACGTTAATCACGTGATTCACGAGGGAATTCCCGATTCTTTGATATCCGACCGGCATTATGTTCATAACCTTTGATCGGAAGGTTAAGATTACGTTTGACGATAAATAAACGAGCGATGATTCCATCTGCCTTTAAAATTTTGAAGCCGATACGTTTGATAGCCAGGTCGATCGAGTAAAATTTTTTTAACAAGGATGATTTTAGAGAAAATTACCTATTTCGGAAAGCATCTGCATTGTTGACCGGCATTAGATAATTTCTGAGACAATTTTCGCTTATTTGCTGTTGAAATTTACAAAATTGAAATTTACTAATGTCATGTTAAGAATATTTTTTGTTTTTCTGTCGGTTAGATCGATTTAAAAGTTGATTAATAAAATAAATAAATAATAAAATTTTTAATCTAGATAATACCAATATGATCAATTTCATGTCAATTTGATTCGAAAATGATTGAAACGCAATGCTCTCATTAAGGGAACGGAAAAAAACATTTCTTTGGAAATTTAATTAAAAATAATCGATCACACTACAAACGATGTGAAAATAAATTCCTTTATTGTCAATATTAGAAAGTATTTTGCTTCGCGTAACATGTTATATTTTGTAATACGATCAAAAAGTACACAACATTCAAGTTTTCACACCGGCATGAAAAACCATTTTATTCAATTTTTCGTCGACGACAATTCGAAAAGTGGATGTGTGTTTTATATCACGTGAAATAACGATCGTATCAAAAAAAGGGACTTGATTAACAAAACTATATCTGGACCTATAGTAATATTTACTATTAAAGATTTTTTTGTAATTCTTTATAATAATCATCTCACTAAATCGATACATTTTTATACTTAATAACTTCGCTCCAAATTTACAAAAACATTCTAAATTATTGTCTCTTTCATGTAACAGCTCGTTTTTCCAAAAAAAATTTTTACGCTTCAAGAAATAATAAATAAATATTTTAGTACACAGCTCTCGAAATAAATTGTTGTTTTTCAAGAAAGCGGGTGTCACATCTTTTAGGTTAAAACGTATTCATTTACTGTTTTAATTTGATTGAATGCTAAATTAAAACCAAAGTTATTAAACTTTAAAGGTTTAGGATCTTTTATAAGAAAATCGCAAATAATTAGGTTCGACACGTATACTTCACAAAAAGTCTTCAATAGTAATTTTTACTATGAGTCTAGATATGGTTTGCATTTAATTAGTTGACACCAAACCCGCTATTTGAATTTAACCAATGAAGAATTTCACACACCAAAAATAAATTCGTGTTTGAAATCGTGTACATTTCATGCATGATGTCACAAATTAGAAGTCCATAAGGGGTTTATTTGCCACCAACGAGTTTTTGATTGATTACTAATACAGTAAATGCCTTTTTTAAAAGATGCAATATCACACAAAATTCACATCATCATGACCAAGTATTTATAATAGTCCACGATTTTTGGTTGAAAATATTATTACTTAACACTTAATTTTTTTAAAATCAAATTATAAAAAAAAAAAAAAATATTTTTTTTGATCCAGGTTATAGAATTTGTTCAGTTATGAGCAATCAATGGAAAAACTATGGCTCTACATTGCTAGGTATTAGTTACAATAAAATATATACAATAAAATTAACAATTAATTATTAATACTTGCTCATTTTTTATTTTTTAAAAAAACAATAGCGACAAGCGATGACAGTAGTGATGTTTGTGACAATATGATTGTAGAACACATCAATCATAAAGGATCAAATTGGACTGCTTATGTCAATATTTTGTAAGTTAATAACTCTGCATTTTCATAAAAAGATCGATAATAAATAGTAAATATTTTTTCCACTTTGGATTTGGTTTATAGATGCATCGTTGCGGGATCAGGAACTCTTGGTATTCCGTATGCGATACGACAAGGTGGATGGATATCCATCCTATTATTAATTCTTTCGGCGATCATGAATGTGTATGCAAATACCAAACTAATCGAATGTTTATATCACAATAATGTATCGCGTCGCACATCCATAACCGAAGTAGCATATGATGCATTCGGAAACGCTGGATCGGGATTTGTGAACTGTTTTTTTAATGCAACATGTATCGGAGCTCCAATAGTTTATTTAATATTATCAGGAGAAAATTTCAAAAAATTATTCGAGGATAATTTTGGCATCGATTTGGGAATAGGAACTTGGATTTTTATTTGCGGAGGCATGATGTGTGTTCCTTACGTGATGCTTAAAAACATGAAAGAAGCTTCGTGGTTAAGGTGATTATCACATTCAATGTTTCCAATGTTATTGAACTTCGATTTTAAGGAAAATATTCACACATTCTACGTTTCAATAAGTATTTTTGGAGCATTAACTACAGGCTTGGTTGTGGTTGTGGTGTTTATTGCTTCGCTTATGGAATTACCAAATAATCGAGATAAGGAACATCAAATAATACATCTTAGACATATGCCGATAGCTTTAGCAACAGCATTTTTTAGCTATGGTGGAAATGTCGTATATCCTCATGTCGAAGCAAGGTAGATCCATTTGATTTTTATCGTGTTCTCACCTCAATAAATATGGATTCTCGTGTTAATTCCACGTTTTTTCCACGTTAAATTAGCATGGAGCATCCAAAAGCGTGGCCAAAAGTACTTGGTCTCGCTACCTTCACGATCACTTTTTTTTATCTTTTGATTGGAATTTCAGCATATGCAACGTATGGAGATGATACATTATCCCCGATTTATAAGAATCTTCCGGCTGGTTTAGCGGTTACGATCAGTGTAATAATGATATCAATTCACGTCTTAATGGCATTGCCAATTTATTTGACGGCTTTTGCGCTTGAGGTGGAAGATTATCTTTCAATCAATGTCGCTACGCTTGGTAAAAATCGGGAATTCACTTATCGAGCTGCTATTAGAATCTTAACTTTGTCTTTTGCTATCTCTATAGCTAACGTAGTTCCCTATTTTGCCGATATCATGGCTTTAATTGGCGCAATTAGTCAAGGTGTATTATTGATCTTTATGCCTATCGTAATTTGGATTAAATTATTCGGGTGGGACTCCATTAATAGTTGGAAGGAAAAACTTTGGGTGATTTTTCTCTTGATGTTTTCGGTAATTGTTACCTTCACTGGAACCATCCTTGCCATTTACGATTTATATGCGGATATCACGGATCATAAATAAAATGAATCACAAGGCGTGAATGATTGTTACACAGAATTTATTAATGTTTTAATTTATACTTTTATGCAATAATGAAATATATAAATAAGTTAAGAGCGGATGATCAATGAAAAAATACCTCTCTCTCTCTCGTTTTTATTTTTATTTTTTTTTTTTAAAAAAAAAAAGAAAAGAAAAAAAAGAAAACATGATATGTTCCAAATTATTCTCTGGAGATTTACCAGAGATAACAAATCACATTCTACGGTATGCACGAAATGATTTTAAAACGCTACATTCATGTATTTTGGTAAACCGATTTTTTTGTCGTCTTACGATGCCATTGCTTTGGGAAGATCCATTCTCAATCCCCATAAGTAATAAATCATGTGTTCACTTTCTTGACGTTTATTTCTCATATTTGAGCGAGACCGACAAAAGCTTATTAAAAGAATATGGAATTGAGAGAATAAATTCGTTGAAATTAAAACCACCACCTTTGTTTAATTATCCGAGTTTTATCAAGATTCTAAATACTTCCCTAATGGAATTGCACATCATGGTTTGGATCGATAATTTTACAAAGCTATATAAAGAGAGTGATGATTTATTTGATGATGAAATTCAGGTTTCCGAATATATCAGCAGATGTGAGATCAAGTACCCATTGACTGAATACAAGGAAATAAATGCCTCGAAAACGGATACACTTCGACAAATCCTCTTAAACAGGGCAAGGTTTATTCCGAATTTATCACAGAAAATAAAATACATGTATTTTTTAATATTTAAAACACTTATTGAGAATGATTCTTCTTTATGTGAATTACATTTAAAGAATCATTTCAGTTCCTCAAATCCATTCGCAAATTATATTTATGAATTGATCTTAAATAGGCCAAAATTCATTTCAGAAATTAAGGATTTTCTCATATTAGAATCTGGATCAAGTGGTGTATGTTCAGAGGCTAAGGACTTTCTCGTATTGGAATCGGGTTCGAATAGTAAATGTTCTCGCGTATTTCTTCAACAATGTATGTCCCTTCAAAATTTTTTATCTTCATTGTCATTAATTTGTCATTCTATTAAACACTTGAGCCTCATTTTTTCACATGATATTTATTCAAAATTTGTATTGGAGATAAATAATTTGTTTAAATCTCAAAACACATTATCAAAGGTTTCCTTTGATACCTTTATTGATTGTCGAACCTCCTCCATAACTGAATCTTTAAGATATTGTTCAAACACCTTGACAACGATTAGCTTTTTCTTCATCACCTTTAAAAATGACATGTTATTTAATGAGCTCGAACATTTAATACATATTAGTTGTTTGGAATTTCAATGTTGTGAAAAACCTGAATTATTCATACAATCCTTATTAACCGTCCCTATACCATTGAAAATCAAAACCTTATTGCTCGATCATAATGAAATTCAATCCATCACTCCTATACAATTATTTTTTCAAAAGATTTCTTCCTGTTTGGATAATTTGGCAATAATCTATCAACCTTATTTCATGAAAGAATACCTGGAATCTATCATCCTTTACTGTGAAAGGATTGAATTCTTTCATTTGGGCGCGATTGATTATAATAATTTACCACAATTATTTCAAATAATTGCTTCATGTGGTCAACTGAAATACCTCACCCTTGAAATCAAGTATCATGAATTTAATCAAAAGGAAATAAGATCAACCAGTTTTGACATTAGATACGTTGACCAAATTGATGATTTAAAAGTGAGTTCAATGATACTAAGGGAGTTGGGTCAATTATTACCTAGTAACTTGAAATATTTGGACTTGAGTTTCGTATTTGACCCAAAGGATTTGAAGATTTTCTTTGATAATTGCAAGCATGTCAACCTACGTCAGTTATTAATTAGGAACAATAGTAAAAATACTTTAAATTCGACTTTGAGCGTTATAAAGGAGTTTATTAGGGAGAAAAGGTTAGATTATTTGGCTTATGCGATTTGCTTGTATTATTCAAATTCACTTAATAGTTTGGAAGAGTTGGTTAAAGAGACTGGAAATTTGGTAACCATGAAAAATTACGATGATCTGGTTCTAAAGGCTTCAGACATTGACGGGATTTATCGTAATTGAATCATCATTTTATTTTATTTTTTTTTTTTTCATTTTTTTCACATATTATAATTGGAAATAAAGAAGCAATTTTCAAATCAGTCAATTCAAAATATCACATCGAACGGATACTTCAATTTATTGAGTATATATAAATAATAAAGGTCTTGGTTGTGTAACGATGCAGTACATAAATATGAAATAATAATCTAAAACGGAATAAATTACAAAATGTCATGATAAAATTGCGCGTAATTTAAGGTCGATTAAGGCTTCTTTGGAGGAACTTCGTTGGGGAATTTGCCACCATCAGGAGATTTTTTACCGTCGTCACTTTTCGGAAATTTAGGTAACTTTCCATCATCAGTGAACTTGCCATCACCATCTTCACCATTTTTGGGGAATTTAGGAAATTTGCCATCGGGAGATTTACCGTCTTCACCACCTTTTAGAAATTTGGGATATTTGCCATCAGGAGATTTACCATCTTTTGGAAATTCGGGGAATTTGCCATCCTCACCATCTTTTGGGTCCTTTGGTCCTTTAGGAGAATCAACCGATTTTGGATCTGAGAATTCAGGAATTTTCGGAGGGCAACCTTCATCCTTTTTGTCTAATTAATTTTTTAATTTTCTTTTTTTTTTGATAATATTTTTACATTTCCGTAAATATTACAATAAATTCAAATATGATTACCGCAATGATGCTTGTCATCTTCCGTTCCTCTTTTATGAATAACATCGGTTTCAATTGGTGCTGCGATAGAAACAGTAACGCATACAACTAAGGTTACAACCACAAATAAAGCAAAAGTAAACTTCATTTTTAAAAAATTTTCTGATGAAATAAGCGGTGATCTAAAGGGTTTGATACGATTTTAATTATTCTTTGAATTATTTGAGAGAAATGATTTGGATGTGAGTTGATGGAAGGAAGCAACGCGATGTTTATATAAGAAATTGTCAGTTATGTTTTAGGTGAGGAAATACAAAGGAGTAATAATATTTGTATATACCAATTAAACTTGGCATATTAAATATCAAAATCTATTAGGTATAGCTTATTTGAAATTTGATCAATCGTACGATAACGCTTGTTCGCTTTCATATTCTCCTCAATGGCGCAAGTCTTCCATTTAGCCTTGGCACATTTAGCAATAACGGGGTTTTTTAATCCAATTATTTAGTTTATTCCGGAGATTTCAACGAATCGATCGTCTAATGTCGCGCGCATAAATTATCCTCGCGTCACGTAGCGCGAAATATTGTAAGTGCGTATACAACCAAAATTTATTTCCCACGAAAGTTTATTATCTCAATGGTTTATCTTTTTCCTGTCTTGGCATGAAAAATCTATTATAATTTATAAATCTTTTTTAATAATGTCGATTCGTTAAATTAACTTTTTGTTTTACCCCTTCATCTCGATAGACATTCACAAATTTCCAAAATCATCAAAAATCATCATATGATTTATCCGAAATGAAATGATCATCCATGCTCAATAATGTAAGGCGGATTAAATTGTTAGGCGGTAAAGCATTTTTCAAAATCTTTATATTTTTGTCAAGGTTTTAACTATAAACAGTATCGGCGAGCCAAGAAAAGTTTTGTACGATCGTGATCAAGTTTTTTTTTTTTTTTTTTTTTTTTTTAACTTGGCCAAGAGCCAAGTAAAGTGAGGTGATAAACATTGTTGAAGGGTTTAGGAATTTTAACCGTTAACTAATTTTGAACATTCCCGAATAAACCACACTTTTCGTAATACAAATCTACTTGACGCATTTTATATCAAGTATAAGGAAAAGTAATTTTAAATAAAAACATCTCTCACATTCCTAAACAAAAATCCCTTTTTAACACAACTACCTTCTTACAATAGACTACTTACCAAATTGCAAACAGAATCCAAGAGACGTAGCAATTTAATGGGGGTGATAGTTCATTTTCGTTAAAATTATTTCAGTTGCAAATTACTTTACTTTCTTAACTAATTTAATTTGACAAAAGTAAAGCGTGATTGGTTGATTTATAACATTAAAACTTCTATGATTTCCACTTTATATAATTCTATGTATTTGATATAAAAACATGTAATGCTTTTTTTTACTGCATATTTTTATAAGTGAATGAAATATTGAAAACAAGTAAATTCAACCTTTATTATTATGTAATTGCGAAAGGAGGAACGGCTAAGTAAAAAATGAATGGTAATATTAATACCTAAAGCTTTCATTAATTTTTATTGTTTTATCCATATTCCAATCTCAATTCATCACGTCATACCGTGATTTTATATGGATGGTTACCAAAGATAATAATTGTATATATAAAAATGTCATATTTTTAGAAGGTTCATATTAAATAAGTAACCAATCAACCTCAGGAAAGGTATTCTAGATCAATGCATGTCGACGATTTTTAATAAAATTCTCAATAATTACGGTATTTGTGGCAAGACATAATGGAATACGTTCAGCTGTCAACTGCAGAAGAAGACGAGAAACTGCCCAAGCCTAAGAAGATCAAGAGTTCCAAGACTCCAATAGGCAAAACACAACGTATCTGTCTCTTTCCTACACAAGAAGAGCAGTTAAAACTTAGACAATGGATTGGGACAGCACGCTGGACATACAATCGATGCCTTTCCGCGGTCGAAAAAGAAGGTGTCAATCAAAACAAAAAGGTTTTGCGAGCACGATGTCTCAACGCTGTAAACTTTAAGAATGATACAAAACTTAAGTGGGTTATAGAAACTCCTTATG